CATTAAGAGTTCAGGCAGTTGTTAAGGCGAAAGGTGATGTAACTCCGTATTAAACAAATTTCTTGTTGTGCTGTCCCAATATATAGTTGTCAGCAAAATTGGCTTTGATTTTGTCAAAATAAGCTATATCTAAAGTGATTTGTTTGCAAAGTTATAAAAATATAGTAAAATTGTCTAGATCATATTGTAATGTTTGAATTTAGAATAATAAACAAAATAAATTGAGTCGTTTTAACAAATTACTATTTTTATTGCAAAAAAAGACCTTGTCCCAAAATAAATAGTTGTTAGGGCTCGTATTAGTTCAATAGATACATCGTAGACTAATATTATACGTAAACCATTATGTAAGTATCTATTTTAATGGATATTTCGGTTTCAGTAACATACACGTTCCCATTAATGCGTTAGCATTCTAAACGAACGCATTTTGCGCAAATAATTCGTTTACATTAATCGTTAGCGATGGCGGTTTGATTTAACAATTTTAATTGAGTATTGGCAGCAATCGAAATCTAACAAGGAATGTCGTTAATCAGATAAAATGCATCATTTGTTTGTAGGGATGCAAACCATACATCGATATTTTAATAGTGAAAAATCGATGTTTACTATTCGATGTTTTATTATTGCAAGCTATGTATGTATCAGTATCGATAGTTTTTTAAGGATTTTTTTACATTGATGTTTTCTAAAATTTTTAGTTAATATATTGAAAGGACATTCTAATAAATAACACAACACTGGAAATAGAAGAATATATACAGGGTGGTCCGAACAGTATTCCGGAAACTTCAACAGGATATTATGCCGACAAAAATAAGTAAAAAAGTTCGTATAGATGTATGTCCTAAAATACTTAGTTTCCGTAGCCTTACCACAGCTTACAGAATAACATAGCTTTGACACTCGCCAATTTTTCCCACGCTCGAATTTAAAACGCCCCACTCCGACGATGCGCTAACTGAATTAAGCGACCGACAGTCAGCCTCATTCAGTCGATGCAGAGCCTCCACCGGTCGCGCGTAGGGCCGTATTACGGAAGATTTTAATTCGATTTTTTTTCTTATATTTAACCATAGGTATTTGTGCTTTTATTTCAATTTTATTTTTATTGATGGAATGGGAAAAGGTTTTCCGGGATGTGCGGCTGCTGGTTACACAAATAATTATGGAAATAATTCAAAATATAGTCTGTTTAATTTTCAATTCAAAATTAATGTTCAATTTAAAAGTATATTCATACTTTAGAGCTTTTCAAAACGATGAAGACTACTTATTTGGAGGCTTGCTAATACCAAGTGACCATTTTTTTATTTAGTTTCCTCATTGGAGGTTATTTTTATAAGCTTTTATTTAACTTGCTTTGTATGTAACTATCTATGTATGTATGTATGTTTGTTCGGGGCAAATCTTGTAAGCTAAATTAAAACCACTTCCTTTTATTGTAAGAGATTGAAATTTGGCATGTAGGTTCAGTCCCGATGACAATACATTTTTTTTGCAAGGCATGACCCGAATTTTTTGAGCTGTCAAAATGGCATTTTGAGGTTTTGGATTTTTAAAAATTCTATTTATGAATGGATCGGGCTGAAATATATATATATACAGGTTGTTAACTCAACAGTTACTTATAGGGAAACAGAATAAGCAACACTGCCTCATTGAGAACGTATGCATTATTGATTTTTCTGCTGACTCGTCCCGGGTCGCGTCGTTCATCGACGAGCGGACTGAGGTTATTTCAACCAAAAACTCTTTTCCATAGAGTGAAGAACAATTTAACAAGCTGTATAGGTATATTGTGGGTATATACATGTAAAAAATATATGGGCGGCCATCTGAAAAAATGACAGTTTAATGACATGTCAAAATTTCAAAGTCAACTAGATTTTCATAAAATTGATATATAGGGATGGCCATGGGCTAAATGAAAAAAAAATTTGAGCTGTCAAATTTGACAGCTGTCAGAAAATTTCAAAGTTCTCCGATTTTGATAAAAATTGATATATAGGACGGCCATGGGCGAAAATGAAAAAAAAAATGTTGAGCTGTCAAATTCTGACGGTTGTCAAAAATTTCCAAAGTTGTCCGATTTTTGATAAAAGATCATGGATGGCCGGTAATTTTAAATGAAAGAAAAATGTTGAGCTGTCAAATGACAGCTGTCAAATAATTTCAAATTTGGTCCGATTTTGATAAAATCGAGTATTGATGCCCCCTACCCCATAGTCGGTTTTCATTTATTTGTCTCATTATTTGAACTGTCAAATTTGACAGCTGTCGTTTTCTTAAGTTCTCCTTTTTAATGAAAAATCGATACATATTATTAGGATACCCATAGAGTTATTTAAGAAAAAAATTGAGTTTAAGTGTGTGTCACTGAGAAACCAGCATAACTAAAAGTGAAAATAAATTTTATAAAAAAATCTTTTAAAACAAGACTTGTTGGCTGCTAAAAAGAATAAAATAAACTCTTTTCTTTAAAGCTTTTATTATGAACTTAGAACGTCATTACAATATTTTAATATTAGATATATAAGAGCTTGTCGTGGATTACTCTTCATCGATAAACAAGTAAATTAACTAAAACCTGTGTCTACCCTGTCTCATTTTCAAAGTTTGTGTTATGATAGACCACTAGACCAGAATTACCAAGATAAAGTTGTCGTACCAGATTTTTATGAGTGCAACTGTACACTCAAATCTCGCGACAAGTTTTATATAATATTAAAATTGTGTAATGACGTTATAAGTTCATAATAAAAGTTTTAAAGAAAAAGTTTATTTTATTCTTTTTAGTGTATTTAAATAAAAACTTGTTTTTAAAAAAGTTTTTTTATAAAATTTTTCAGAACAATTTTGAAGAACTTTCCTTAAATGAAAATATATTATGTAAATTCGTTAAATTATTTCAGACAATTAAATTCAACCATCAATCAAATTTTCCTATAATGTATTTTTTGTTAAAATTATACGCAAAAGTTAGAATTTATTATACCTTAAAGAATATTAGTAAGAACTTAAATGTAGCAAACAAAAACCGAAAGCTCCTAATTTAGAAACATTCGTAAATAACTATAAGTAATCAATGGACCCATTTCATTTTGCTGTTATTTCTAGAAATAAATTAATTAATTTGTTTTTTAAATGTTTTTCTTTGAGAATGCATATTTATTTAAAGTCAACAATTTAAAAAACGTGTATCTAAATTATGTTCACAGCACCAGTCGAATAATTTTTTACGTCACGTTTAAAATTTTTTTGAATACATCTCTGGGCTGACTGGCGCTTACGCGGCTATTGGTTTTGGCGAGAGAGCTCGCCGCTCTAGTGTTCCCCCTCTTTCGAATCGCAAATCCGAGTGTAAAAAGATCAAAGCGGCACGCTACACTGTCCGAGCTGGTTTTTACTTAAGCTGTGGCCTTACCTATTAGGGGATTCAATCCCGGACAATTTTATGTTGTCGGGATCCCGGGATTCTTAACCCCGAATCTCGGGATCCCGGGATTTCAGTAATAATGTTACCAATGTTACTTTCAAAGAACATTTTATTAAAATTAACGTTAATTAGTTAAGACAAAAACAAAGTCTTTAGAACACAAAAATAAGTAAATATTCTTCTTAAACAACATTAAACAAAAATTAAAAATCTCAAACAAAACAAAAAAGAAACTGGACTGATAATATTATTCCATATTTTTTAAAAAATAGCGCCAAAATATAATATTGTCTATTGTGTCATCTCCCATAGCAGAACGAAATTTTGTAACTATCAAGCCTGCTGACGAAACCTTTCCGATTCTACACTTGTAGGCGGTATTGTACTTAAAAAATCAAAAGCTAGTTGTAAGTTTGTTCCACGTTGTCCACTCTTCTGGAACGTATCCATTTCATTTTTTACTTGGGCTTCCAAGTTTTCAGTTTTTGTTACTGGTGGCACTGTCATTCGATTTGACATTTTTTGGTTAACGCTTCATCTAGCCTCTCCGAAAATGACACGTCATCATTTAAGGCCTGGTACCTGTTCTGAATAGTAGCAATTGGCAAATCTTCATCCGATTCCGAACTATCTGAAGAATCTAATATGATTTTACTTGTTATATCTAGTCGTTTTAAGAGGTTTGCTACTTCTTGTTTCAAAAGTTTTTTATTATTCCGGGAATCACCGACGTATCGCTTGTCGGCGGCGCTATAAAGGTGCGGCCCACATTCGAACGGAATGAACGAGCGAGCGAACAAATGGAATTCGGTATATTTGGACGTTGGACTGAACGCATGCGGTTGTCGTCTGTTTGTTCGTTCGCTCGGCCATCCGTATATAAACAAAAAAAAAACAGGTTTATAACAATATCTTGACGATTTGAACTGGCGCGCGAATGAAGAAATGCGTGCGGTCTTCTCGTGCGGTTCTATCGTGCGGTCCCCGTCCATACCACTAGCGTACGTTCGTTCGTTCGTTCGTTCGTTCGTGCGGATAATGAATACGCACCTTAAGGAATTCAACTAAAAGAGAGTTTTTGCATATACAACCTTAAAAATAGCGTTTTACTATATTATATAAAATCCCGGGATCTGTTATTATTTTCCCGGGATCCCGGGATTGAAAAAATCCGATAAAAAACGTCGGGATCCCGGAATCCCGGGATTGAATCCCCTATTACCTATATATAAAACTACCCAGTGAAAAAATATACATTTCCCTGATTTTCTACGTAAAACATGTTTCTTGGTAAAAATCGCTGCGAGCCGCCGGCCGCGTCGTTCTTAATATATTTAGAATAGTAGGTAATAGTCAATGCATGTCATTATTGACAAAAAATAAACATTTTAAGTTGATAGTTACGTGACTGAAATGATAAATTTGAGATCGTATAAATTTTTCTTCGAAAAAATGATGCTAAAACAGTTCCTGTTGATTTTTTTTCTTTTTGAAGTTACTTTTTCTGTCGTTTTTTAAAGGAATATTATTTTTTACGTGTTTTTATTGTACTTTCCAGGCTCCAGCAAGGAGTTGGATCGAGGCAACCTTCCACAAAAGAGAATGTTCCAGATACAAGCCGACTGCTAAAGATGAATCAAGGTAAGGCGTCATTTGTTTCCACGCTTGTATCCATTAGCCTTGTTCGAAAATATAACTGTAGGATGATTTATGATGTAAATTTTTAAGTGGTAGGTATACACTACCCGACAAAAATGTTTTGTTAATTTTTTATGCTTTATAACTTTTTTATTCTTTATCTACTTTTTATGATATTTTAACAGATTTTATATCGATTGCTATTATTTTTTTTTATTATTTAATATGTAACATTTTTTTTATTCGATATTATACAAGTGTAAACCAAAATTATTATTTTTTTATCTTAAAACAAACATTTTAAAATTGAATAGAATTTGAATATACTCAAATATATTCAAATAGAAAAAATACCAGGGTACACCAACTAAAAACGAAAGAATAATTTAATAAAAAATAAATTATTCATTCAATGCCCCACAAATATAAACCAAAGCTTTAACAATAATGTTTTGAAAATAAGAATTTATGTCTGTGTTATATTGGTATTTTCATAAACCCACTGAAACAATGAAAATCCATTTAATAAACATACTTTACTAATTAGGATTTAATAGTTAAATACAACACTATATATTTGAAATTATTTCCAGCCAACATATTCAATGTAAATATGTAATTGTAATAATTTTAAACTGTTTAAATAAGGGAATAAAATTTTGTTCCAATATCCAAATAAAATGTATACAGGGTGTCAAAAAATAGTGTATCTAACTTTGGTGGGTGATTATACAGATAAAAATAAAACAAAAAGTTCCTATGAACAAATAAGCCCTAAAATGCTTTCCGAAGAAGTTACAGTCCTCGAAAGGTTAAATAAAAATATTATACAGGGTGGTTCCAACTATATTCCGGAAATTTCGGTAACATATTTTGCAGATAAAACTAAGTAAAAATGTTCGTATAAATGTATGTCCTAAAAGGCTTGGTTTCGGAGACACATTGTGTAGAAGTTTCATTTATATTTCGTCTTTTTCCAAATAATTTCTGAAGTAACGTCGATATTTGGATGAAAATTGGTGGCTGGGTGTTTTTTGACATGAGAAATTTGATTTTGATGTCAATATGACTCCTATGTATAGGCAACGCCACCAACATGTGTTTTAACTGTTTTGAAAAGTAGTTTAGTTAAGTTTTTTTAACTTTTCGTCTGTACCTGTATAAAACCCCTGAGTGAAAAACCCTGTAACAGCCCTGAAAGGCTACTTTCCATTAGGGTAGAATGTAGAATGTAGAATGTTTAGGAGGGGAGTTAATCACCGCGACCTTATAGATCTATTGTGTGTTCCCCTTTCTTGAGTTATAACGAGTTATAACTCATCATACAGTCTCAGGGCTTTAAGAAAAGCCAGTATCTGAGACGGCTCCACAGAGGCCAGCTCTCCATCCTCGACATCAGACGTACCAAGGTTCATGGCACGAATGGTCGTCGTCTCGGCGCACTCAGTGATAAGGTGTTCTGGTGTTTCCCCATTTTCCCCACAAAATCTGCATTCGCCGTTGTTTCTCAGTTTCAGCCTACTGAGGTGTTCGTTGAGGAGACAGTGTCCTGTTAGAAACCCCGTGACAATCCGAAGAATGTTTTTACTTAAATCAAGGAAAACCTTTGATTTTTCTTGGTCATAAGTTCTGAGGAACTTTTCGAGTGTCTTAGACCGTTGGAGGACACCCAGTCCAAGTTACGGATGGAGTCTTCCAGATTCTTCAGTTCCGCTTTCAGTTGGTTCCCGTTTGGAAAACAGAACGGTTCTGGTCCTGTTAGTGGAGTGTTCGCTCCTTTTCTAGCTAGATCATTTGCTTGTTCATTGCCTTCTATCCCTTGATGAGCAGGCACCCAGAGTAGGAGGACTTTATTTTCTTTGCCTAATTTGTTGAGCTTCTCTAGGCATTCTTTGACCAACTTCGAATTGATGGTTACTGAGTTGATCGCGTTAAGTGCTGCTTGACTATCGGATAGGATGGCAATTTCCTGTTTTCGATAGTTCCTATCTAAGATAAATTGTACGCATCTTTCGATAGCGCAAATTTCTGCCTGAAGGATACTGGGGTAGGTGCCCATTGGTTCGGAGTATTCAGTTTTCGGCCCAAATACTCCTATCCCTGTCCCTGCTTCAGTGGCGGCTCGTGGCAAAAAAAAGTAGGGAAGCAATAATAGAAAAGAACCCCCCCCCCTGTCATTTTCGTTAAAAAAATCCTAAAACGTTATGCATCTAAGAGGACAAAAAAACTTTTCAAACATTTTAATAGGGACCAAACAGCACAAAATTTGAATGATTTTTAAAAAAGAAATGACTCTGATCTGGTGTAACAAAAAATGTATACTAATCACGCGTCTAATCCTATTTTTTGTTCTTAGTGTGATGCACTATTTTCTGCTGCCCTACAGTAATAAAATAATCCAGAATACAAAGGTATTTTGTAATTTAAAAAATGTACTTACAAAAACAAACTTTCTATTTCTTATATAACAGGTCGATTCTTCGGGATTTTAAACTTGCAAACCGGTCGATTATATCTTCATAGAAGGATTTAATTAATTTGAGTAAGTCTTTTAAAAGTTCTTTTTCAATTGAAATTGTGGCCAAGTTATTAAGTCTTTCTTCAGTGATTTTATGTAGCAAATAGGTTTTAATTCTATTTAAACATGAAAAACTTCATTCAACGGAAACGCTGGTGGAGGGAATAGTCACTATTAAACAAAATAATTTGTATGACTCTTTAAAAACTTCGCTATTACTATACCGAAAAACAGTAAAAACACGAAAGACTATGCGAAAGACAAAGGTTAGGTTTTGTTACGTCCGAAAAAGCACATAGGAACCAAGTTTTGCCGATGCTTCCAGCCCGTAATACACTAGACAAAATTTCAGGCAAATTACACAGGTGAGACATGTTGGTTGCCTATCTTTGGGCTTTATTTATTGTCGAACGGAATCATATTGCGTCATTGTAAAATTTGCTGCCGTGTGATCGTGGCGCGTGGCGTCTCGTTCGGCACGCGTTCGGCTAGAAACTTATGAAAACTAAATCGGCGTGTTCAGTTTTGGCTAAGTACGTTTAGGTTAAAGTGATATGATAACTCGGATTCCCCAAAAATTAAGTGATGGAAGAGTAAAAAAGTAAAAATTGGTATATTTTATATTTTATTTTTATTAAAAATAATTGTATTACTTTTATCTGAATTATTTTAGAGGAAGCAATGCTTCCCTTGCTTCCGCTGACGAGCCGCCACTGCCCTGCTTTGGTTTTGGAAGCATCCGTATACCACATGATGGTATGGTCTTTTATATGCTGAGTAAGCGTCTCTTTCTTCCAATCCTTTTTATTACTCAATACTACAGTGAGGTGTTTCTCAAAGTTGTAAATTCTTGGTATGTCATCCACTGGGAGTTGGAGAAGTGGAATTTTCTTTTTGAGGGTGTTCCAAGCTCCTGACCTGAAAATTCTCCCAGTACTGTCTTCCATTAGGGTAAAGAGTACTACTAGTAGCACTTCTGTCATCCTTATAGTTAGAATAATTTCAATAAATAAAAATTAAAGCTAAGACTTTTTTATGCAAAAAGGTGCACTGAAAAAAAGGATCTCTCAGTCGAAACGAATATGACTTTGACCCAAAAGATTGGCGCTTTTCAATAGGGCCAAGACGACGTTTCTTTACCCAAAGCATTAACTATCTTTTCATAAGCTTTAAAAAATTACTTTAGAGAATAGAAGAATCTATCTGTCCAAAGTATTTCACTCTTGACCCAAAATGAATATGCAAAGAAGTTCTTGCTACAAGAACAATAGTCTCTTTGATTCGTGCAAAAATTCTTGATTGAAAAGGGACATTTCTTGATACCAATAGCGAATACTATGTACTCAATTAAAAATTTATTTTGATCTAAGAGAAATCTATACATCATATACAGGCATATTACGAGGTGTATTATTTTCGGATAAATTTAGGTTTTCCTGATCTGTAGTAAGTAAAGTTATATTATTTTCCTCGATAGTAGTTATTTCTGCTTCTTCACTCCTTGGTATTTTTTGGGGTGGTTCATCACTCTACAAATTACAAAAAAATGTTACATCACGATTAATCAAAGTAAAGCAAATAAATTATTAAAATTATAAGCTTTGGTCACATTTTGATTTTGAATTTTTTAATACGACTTGAAATTCTAAAATTTTTGTAATTATTTGCATAAAAAAATCGATACCTATATTCTTATTCTATCTATAGTCACGCATGCATTATCTAAGGAAGGAAATACCACTCCTGCAACTCCCAGTGGACGATATGCCAAGAACGTACAACTTTGACAAACATGTCAATGTAGTATTGAGCAATAAGAAGGATTGGAAGAGCGAAACGCTTGCCCAGCAGTTAAAAGACCATACCATAACTTGGTATACTGATGCTTCCAAAACCAATACGGGAACAGGGATCGGAGTGTTTGCGCCGAGAGCTAATTACTCCGAACCAATGGGCACTTACCCTAGTATCCTACAGGCAGAAATCTACGCTATCGAGAGATGCGTACAACTTATCTTAGATAGGAACTATCGGAAACAAGAAATAGCCATCTTATCTGATAGTCAAGCAGCGTTAAAGGCGATCAACTCAGTCTCAATCAATTCGAAATTGGTCAAAGAATACATAGAGAAGCTGAATAAATTAGGCAAAGAAAACAAAGTCCTCCTACACTGGGTGCCTGCTCACCAAGGGATAAAAGGCAATGAAAAAGCAAATAATCTAGGTAGAAAAGGAGCGAACACTCCACTAACTGGACCAGAACCGTTCTGCTTTCCAAGTGGTAACCAACTCAAGGAGGAACTCAAGAACTTGGAAGATTCCATCCGCAACCTGGAATGGAAATCTTGCAATGGTCTAGGACACTCGAAGAAGTTTCTGAGGGCTTATGATCAATAAAAATCACAGATCTTCCTAGGTCTGAGTAAGAACAATCTTCGGATTGTCAGGGGTTTTTAACAGGACACTGTCTCCTCAATGAACACCT